CAGAAAACAGTAACAATTATCACGGAATGATCCATCCTTCCTTCCTTCCTTCCTTCCTTCCTTCCTTCCTTCCTTCCTTCCTTCCTTCCTTCCTTCCTCTCTCCCTCCCTCGCTCCCTCGCTCCCTTTCTCCCTTCCTTCCTCCCTTCCTCCCTTCCCTTCTGAAGGAGTATATGAATCAATATTGGCTTCTGGTTATATTATTGTATACTGTCATAAATTAGTTATTTTCTAGCCTAGCAAATTGTAACCTTAATACTGGATGGCATTACTGCAAATGTTATCTCACTGCTGCGTCTTGCTTCTATTCTTGGCTTCAAAGCTAGGGACATTCTTGAAAACATAGAAGAAATTGTTACACGGGAATAGCACATAGATAAAGGAACCAAACTAGGGAGTTTTCTTGGCTCATAAATCCTTAAAACATTCTGCCGAAATGGCTAAGGGGGGCTGCCACCCACTACACAAGGCTATAGGAATCCTCTATAGATAAGGTGGAAAGAGACAGAAGCTAGAACAAAAGAACACTTTAAAGATCACGTTGGTAACGAATCTTTGTCTCTGATGGGATAAACTTTGTTTCTATCTGCCAAAAATGTATATAATACTCTGAGCCACTCTTGCAGGGTATTGCTATTCCTTACATGCATTTGTTTTGTATGTTTTGGACATAGTTTTGTCACTCAGCTTTTGCTATAGCCATAAATACAAGCTGACATTTTTGCAAGCCTTGTCTCGAGTCTTATTCTCTTTGGCATTTTAGTGGCTTGGGGAAACTGCTGGAACCTTACACTTCCTTCCTTCCTTTTACTTCTGCATGCATGATTTCTGTCAGACACTCTTTAAATAAGATAAAGTTGTTACATGCATAATATGGAATGGTGATCAAAGAAATAGCATGCAGGTTTTCCCCCCTGTTCTCATTCCTAATCCTTGAACATAAAATCACAGTTTATGTAATTTGATTCAGAACTTTCTATGTCAATCTGAAAAGAAATGCCTTTGTTCAGCCATAGCAACTGTTAATAATTAAAGTACAATTAAATGGCTGGTTTAGGCTTTATTGCCCTTCCACCCAGCTATTTCTAAAGGACTGGAGGAAATAAAAGACTTTGCCCCATTCTGTCTCCTAACTGGTGGCCATGATGGTTTGTTTCTGACACTGGTCTTTAAAAAGATGGGATTGCTTATTATCTTTGGAACAATGGACATTCTGCTGATAGTCAGTACCGAATAGCTGAGATTTAGTACTACGGTATTTGGCTTTTAGGATGTGGAAAGAAGAGATCAAGTAAATTTCACCCAGACCACTTGGAAGCTAATGTTATATGAGTCTATTCACATGTTGGAATTTTCTTTTTTTCCTAAATTCTTTTGCATACCCTCCTCTATTAAATATACTCTGGAGGATTATTTGGGTGTTCAAACTGGAGAGAGGATGAAACAGGTTAGAAGAATTCTTCTTACCTCCTGTTAATGAGTAGAAGAACATTAGATTCCAACCACACAATATAAATAAATTCCCACTGTTGCAGCAAAATCCTACGGTTATTTCATTCTCTAGACGTTGCAGTACAATTAGCAGAAAATAAATGGGAGGAAAAAAGAGAATGCCTTACCTTTAGCACAGCTAGTACATTCATTAGGTTCATTTCCACTGCATTCCATACAGGACTCATGGCAAGAATGACACTGCTTGTTAAATTCAAATTTCCCTCGAGGGCATTGAACAACGCAGCGCCCATCATCCAAAACTCTACTGCAAAAGAAAAGTGAGGAACATAACATTAGAATTAAGTAGCTGAAGAATAATTTCCTTTTAAAGAATAAACTTAAACCTATCTGGAGACCGGCTTCCATATTCAATTATATTCCACATATTCTTTGTACTTTGCTCTATTTTCAGTTTGAAAACTATTTACGACACGCAACAAGCTAAACTTTGAACTTCAAATTGATCTGACTAATTTCTCAAACCTTTTATAAAGCTTCTTGATATTGTTTCCCCAAGAGGTGAGGATTATTTTCTCTTTCCAGACTTAGGGAGCATAAGTGGTTAGATCAGATGCTGTAATGTATTATGTCAAGCCATTTTTAATTTATGTTGAGCTATTGTTTATTTTTTATGTTTTTATGCTCACACCATGGTCCTTATATTTTCATGTCATATGTTACACTGATGCTTGTGAATTGGGAAATCATTTACATTTGTGAAAATCATTCAGGTTTACAACATTCTCCAATATCACCATGGATATTTCTTATCTATTTATCCATTAATAACCCAGGGGACATCACACATCCTCCTTTACTCCTTGTTCTATGATGAGCCCTTTACTAAACATTTATTTATCCTCCTGCATACTTTATTTCCATTATATTGTTCTTATCTCATTCAGCAAACAAAGTCAATTCCACCTTCATAGGAAATTAATTCAAAACCTTTCACTGTATACAAATCAATAAGATACAATCAATTTTTTTATATGAAAGTCCTGTTTGTATTTATATGTTTTACGGAAGGTTCATATAACTTATTACTGTTTTACTTAGATCCTTATTGTAACTCAGTTCTGATTCTGAACTTGGGCTCTGTCTGACAGTGGAATCCAAATTGTGAGACAGATTTTTCTGCAGGAAATTTTGTAATACCATTATGTTAAGGTCTAGAGTTCTTCCAAATTTCCATTGACAATGCTAGGGATTCAGAGGAAAAAATTGGCATGCAAGGGATGGAATGATTGGAATGATGGAATGATTTATTACTGTGTATTCCAAAATTCTTTTTTTAATCAACTTGCAGAGACGTGCACCAGTGTAAATATAGATTCTGAATTTCCTCAGGTTTTTCAATATCCCTTTTTTCTCATATATATATATATTAAGAAACAAGATATTTCACTCCTTTCAGTATGAGAAGTACAGGGCATATGCAGTAGGGGCAACATAAAATGATTCATTCCAATCAGTTAGGGATTATAAACTCAGATAATACTTGTTTTACATCAGTTCGCAAAATAGCAAATTGATGGTATTGTAACTCCTACATGGATAGAAATTATTTAATGAGAATGGCTTACTTTGCATATGTACAACCAATGCAGTCCTTCAAAGTTGGTCCTATGCATTTAGAACAGGAAATGTCACAGAACTGGCAGTGACCAAGAAAATCAATATATTCTCCTATGAAATAAAGAGTTCATTTAGTACTAAATTTCTGGTTAAGTTAAAGCCACAAACCACCAACAAAACAGAAAAGTATGGTTATTTGCTGAAAATTGCAAATGAATGTGGTATTACAAATATTTCCTGGAAAAGCGGCTTTTAAAAGAAGTTAGCTTATTTAAGTGTTAGTATAGAACAGGGGTGTCAAATTCGCGCTGCCCATTCCCACACCTGGTTAGCAAAGGGGGGGGGGGAAGGCATGATACGTCACATGACGATGCCGTGATGATGCAAGTTTGACTTCCCTGGTATAGAACATGTTTCAAGCAAAAACATACAGCATCTGCCACACAATACTCTAGACTTAACAAGAGTGTTACACTTTAGACTTTCTTGTTGGTAACAAAGACAAAAAAAGTTTGAATAGTGGAGATTGCAATACTGGGAGATACCAGAAGCGAAGAGAAAAATTTGGAGAAATTACAAAAATATAAAGACCTGCAAATAGAAGTAAAATTGTGGCAAAAGAAAGGAAAATTAGTGGCAATAGTAATAGGTGCTTTGGTGCAATTCCAAAATAGCTGAAGAACTACTTGGAGTCCATTGGCATTGACAAAATCACCATCAGTCAACTGCAAAGGCAGCTTTACTTGGAATTGCTTATATTCTGGGATGATACCGGGGTGAAATTCAGCAGGTTCTGACTGGTTCTGGAGAAAAGTTAGCGGAAATTTTGAGTAGTTTGGAGAACTGGCAAATACCACCTCTGACTGGCCCAGAGTGGGGCGGAAATGAAGATTTTGAAGATTTTTGTGGGGAGGGAATGGGGATTTTGAAGTATCCTTTCCCTGTCATGCCCACCAAGCCACGCACACAGAACCTGTAGTAAAAAAAAAAAATTGAATTTCACCACTGGATCTTCAACACCACCAAACAACAGTATCTGCTATCCCTTGAGAAGGACTTGATAGGTGTGGGGGGGGGGAGCCAAATCCAGTTTATAAACCAGCTGACAATGTGACCAATCATAATAATTTAATAGCGGGAATAATCACATGGATACATTCTTTCTTGGTATGAGAAGATGTTGTTTATGGTGCACAGCTGAAAAATGCTGCACATGGAATGCAGCTCACAAATTTGGATTATGTTTCAATTCTTCAGAAAGATTTGTCCAATACTGGGCATCAGAGGAACAATCAAAAGCATTCTTTCAAATGGTAAATAATAAGTTTTGGATGTAGGTCACTTTTTCTAATGTAGGAACAAGTAAGGTATTTCTCTGTGGGTAAAGATTACCCTTCCATTCATATATTACCTAGTACAGATAGTCCTTGACTTACAACTACAGTTGAGCCCCAAATTTATGTTGCTAAGTGAGACATTTGTTTGGTGAGTTTTGGCCCATTTGATGATCTTTCTTGACACAGTTGTTAAGTGAATCATTGCAGTTGTTATGTTTGTAGCATGGTTGTTAAGTGAATCTGGATTCCCACTGACTTTGCTTGTGAGAAGTTTCCAAAAGCTGACTTCAGGACACGGCAACTGTTATAGTTGCCAAGTACCTGAAATTTGATCACATGACAATGGGGATGCTACAACGGTTGTGTAAAAATGGTCATAAGTGTCAGTGCCATTGTAAATTTGAACTATCACTAAATGAGCTGTTGTAAGTTGAGGACTGCCTTTATTGTAAAAACAGGAAAATCTTATATAGAACTTGGTAAAATTTTAGAACGCTTGTAAAACTATTGGAATGGTTCATATAACTTTTAAAAACTTTACATACAGGTTTCTTACAAATTAGTATGAAAAGTTTTCTGAAACATGAATAAGAATTTAAATGAGTTTGTGTATAGTTTGGAAGATTTTATTATAACTGCTTATGCCAATAAGCCATTCACAGGACCTGAAAGAGAAAACAAAGTAAGAGTCAATGATGACTTACCTGATGTAGGAGGGATGAAATAACTAATATAATTAGTTATTTATAATATAAATATAGAGGTTGAAGAATCTTATATTAAGTTATAAGGCAGTTGGTATAGAAAGTTGAGAGTGAGGAAAATGGAATATATTGTTTATGTTGATAAAATGCTACCATTTATCATCTAGAAAAATATTAAGCACACATAGAAAGCCTGTTAGGTCTATTGGTTAAGGCACTAGAAAGCAAAGACCATGAGTTCAAGTCCTGTATTAGCCAGCTAGGTGACTTTGGGTCCAGTCATTCTCTCCCAGCCCAACCCATCTCACAGTGTTGTTTATTTGGATGAGTTGTGTTCGATATGTTTGCTCCCTTGAGTTATTTGTAATAATAATAAAGGTAGGCTATAAACAAACAAATAAATAAATAAATATAAAAATTAAAATATACAATAGCTGATGGCAAATAAAATATTCCAAAAATAGAGGTTTATATTAATGCAATTTTGAGAGTATAAGAAAAACCCAAATATATATTGCACAAAAAATGTCTGATTCAGCATAAATAAAAGTGTAGATTGGCAAACCTATTGGAGATAGATAAATGACACATGGCTGGAGAATTTCCTGTACAAAAGAAGTTGGCTTCAAACACAGTTGGAATTCTCTGTAACAAATGAACTGCTCTGCATTGGGGATTTGCAAATATTCACTGAATTCCAGGAATCATTAGCACATTTGTGTCTGGCAAGGGGGAAAATAAAACCCCTGAATCTTTCCACCTTGCTTATCTTTTGGCACACAATATTTTTTGTTTTCTTTCTTTATACTGTACCATAATGACTAAGAAAAACATTCAGGAAGAAATGAAGATATTTATTCATTTCCACCCTGGACAAAGCAAGCAGGTTTTGATTTGTTCCAAGCTTGGATGTATCTTAAAAACCTGGATATAACTTTAAAAAAAAACTCCTTTCCCATACATTTGTATGTCAGGCTGCCTCCATTCATTTAATATGCAATGGTGCAATGTTGGTAGAGTGGATATGTCAATCAGATACAATCAAATTCGAAGTTAAATTGGTTATTTTGTAGTGATTTAGTCACTTTGTAGAGTAAAGTAGGATTCTTTCAAAATAATTGGAACTGAATTTGTTTCAGCTCCAGTGGAACGTTTAACTTATATAATAGTTGTGAAAAAAAGAAAGAAAGGAAGAAAGGAAGGAAGGAAGGAAGGAAGGAAGGAAGGAAGGAAGGAAGGAAGGAAGGGAAGGGTGTGAGTGAGTGAGTGAAGGAAGAAAGGAAGGAGGAAGGAAGGAAGGAAGGAAGAATGAAGGAAGGAAGGAAGGAAGGAGATCATAGCGTCTATTAGTGGGATATTTCAGGAACTGAAAAAAGGTGGAAATTAAAAAAACCAGATGAGAAAATAAGACAGAACTTTGCATGAAGCGATGAAGCTCAAAATGTTGATCTGCAAATTGTCCTGTCAGAGGGATGTATTCTTAAATTTCCTAAATATTGGTGGGTAACTGGATCTGACCTTTTTAAATTAGAAGCGAAGTCCAGATAGATCTCATACTAAGTACACCACACAACCACAGGGGCCAAGACAACCTTTGTAATTCTCAATAGTAACAGGAGTAGCAGACCAAGCATGCTGATAGTGAAGGTGCCCAGGACAAAAAGCAGAAACTGAAAAAAATAATAATTCATGCCTTCTTAAAGCAGCTCCAATAACAGCTGCACTACTGAAGAGCCATAATAGAGAAGATCACATAGGAAATTGGAGTTGAGGGAACAGATTGAGCAAAGAGGCAATCAAGCCAACTAGAAGAAGATAGTCAGGCTTCATTGGTGGGATTTTTCTGGATTACCTATGACACTTCTTTGAATATCTAGCAGCTTCCATTTGGGGTGATAGAACGATTACAATTGCCCAAAGATGCATGCCCACCTACCAATCTTGTTGCAATTGTCTGAATGCCGAGTTTGAGGAGCTGTTAATATTCCTAAAATCCAGCATCTGTTCTTTGGGTTCCTTACCCCTGAAAACTATGTGGTTCACTGTTGCCATTTATGGTCCTTGAATCTTTCTTTAGTTTTTCATTTTGTTTTCACTTTGAAATCTGGATTTGTCAGCACTATACTTTATCTGCTCTTTATTACAAGAGCAACTTTGTCAGGGCAACTACTCCCCAAAACATTGTTTATATTTTTTTTTGTATCGATGTGATATCTGGGATCACTGGGTTGTCTACATTTCTGTTTGTTGTTCTTAAGAGAAAAGAGCAAAACATGATTGATAGCTGGATCAGTATCATCTGAACATGCTAACTCTGAGGCCAAGGATACAGGATAAAAATATTCTGCTGTTGGCTATTGTTGCCATTCTCATGATTTCCTAGTTTGATTAGAAGAATATGCCTACTTCTTATTTAATGACACTGTGAAAACCTTAGAAAAATAATGATGATTCACTAGTATTTGGCACTATCATTGTATTTGCAGAAACTAACTGAACTGCAAAATCTGAGGATGAAAAATTATACTTAAATCTGTTTCTGTTAATGTATGAGAAAGCTTTTCTTTGAAAAGAAGCCGAATTCTGTGAATAATTTTGCACATAAAACAAAGCTCAGATGGTGTGCATAAATGAGCTACATAGGTGTGAACAAACTGTTTCCCTGAAAGGTATTTACATTTCTGCATCTTCTTTACACACACACATTTCTCCAAAGCATGATACAAAAATTTAGTATTCTACTATGCAGTAGCAAAAGTACATTTTATTGCCAATTTTTGATGGAGAATGAAGGAAAGAGATATGTTACATTTAAAAAAATCTTACTATAGATATAAAACTTAACCTCATTGAAGCCTGTCCCCTAATATAGAAAAACAAGTTTAAAAAATTCAACCTTCATGTTACGGGTTTTTATTTGTTTGTATTTATGGTTATTTCTCATATTTCGTCTGCATCCTCAAAACAGTTTATAAAGGAATGACCTTTTGTATGATCTCCACAACAGCAACATGTGAGGTATGCTATGCATTTTCCATCTTTGGTGACTTTAGGATGTGTGGACTTCAAC